TCTTTAATTTTTGTTTCGTTTGTCCTACATAACATTTTTCACATTCACATGGTATTTTATATACTAAGTTTGATTGTTCTAGTTTATCATCCTTGTCTTTTAGTTTCGTATATATAGAATTTATTTTTACTAAGTTATAAAATACCAACTTGACATAAGTATTTTTGAAACATTTATTTATTCTATTCGACAAAGGTTTGATAAACGGGAATCTGATAATTTTGTTGTTCTTGTTGTCTGGTTCTTTTTCCTGTTCTTTAACTAATCTAAACTTATTAAATACCGTGTGAATGAGACTCGTTGGATAATTGTTGTTTTTTAAAATTATTTCTATTTTTTTCCTATTGTTATTATAAATAATATTCGTACGCATAAAATATGAAATTAATACGTAATCCCCGTATAATCATACAAAAAATTTAACGCTAAATAATTACGCGTTTGCGTAATTTATATTTAAAATTTTCCAAAATGTAATTCGACAATTTATACATTTCGTTTAAATATTGTGTTACGGTTGTGTTGTTGTTGTTATTATTATTATTATTTCGTCACGTTGTCAAAGCATCGGTAAAGAAAATTTCTTGGATGCCGTGTTTCACGGCTCATTTAGCGATCCATCAACCTTCGAAGGGACAGAGATATACTCTAGGGGGTGGAATAGGAAGTGGGGGGGGGCAGGTTGTGGAAAAAAAAAATATGAAGCGGAGAGACGGTGGAAGCAAACGCTTTCTTCCACCCCCCACCCCCCAATCCCTCAACTTTCTTAGCTTAAAATGGGCGGCCACCGTTTGGTGCAAAATTTCGAAGTACAGAGAGAAGATGTGAGAAGATAAAAAGTGAGTGTGAGAGAGAGAATGAGAGAAGGGAAAATCGTTTGTCGTCATGGTCCAGGATGCCCATCATAGTCGTTGTTGCCATAGTCATCATCCTTCGTGAGGATACGAAATGCGGAGGAAGAGGAGGTGGAGGAGGTGGAGGAGGAAGGGGGTTCTGGTAAAGGTCTAAGCCGCTTTTAATAGCCAACCAGCTGTCGCCGGATCCGCTTGGCCCCTTTTTATACGATGTCCGATGTCCTTTATATTAGAAGAGGACGAATAATGTCGGAAAAATAATCTCCGTCTAACTTAAGTAAGTCGTTTTTACCAAAAAAAAAAAAAAAAAAAAAAAAAAAAAAAAAACAAAAAAAAAAAACAAAAAGCGGCCCAAAAGAAGCAATATTTTTTTTTTTTCTCTCTTTTTCAACTCTTTTCACATTTTTCTTCCTTAACCTTACGATTATTTTCCCTTGCGTAATCTGATTTTTTTCTTTTTTGCTTGCTTGCTAGCTCGCTGTTAAAGCATCTCCGAAAAACAATTTTTTCTTATTTCCATCTAACGACTGATTGTTAAATCGATTTTGCGTTTAATCGATATGCATATAGTTTTATTCTATATATTATACTTACTAAATATATAATATTATATATTTACTAATTGTTATACCTAATCGATAGTTAATTATTTTTCTTTTTTTATTATTTTGTTTTTTTGTTAAAAATCTTTCGTTTCGATATAATAGCAATGGCAATTAAACTGTCTTCCAATTAATTTCCTTTCCCTTTAGAATAAGCCGATTAATTAACCCAAAAAAAATAAAAGAAAAAGTAGTAAAAGAAGAAGAAGAAAAAGAGAAAAAGGGATAGAAGAAAAAAAAAGAAAAAAAAAAGAAAATAAAAATGTAGAAAATAGGTACGGTCATTATTTTGGAAGTGCACGTTCGTTCAAGCTCGCTATTATTTTCCTGATGTCGAAGTTGAACGAGTTTAGCTTAGAACTATTCTCGAAAGCGACTTGAAACGAAAATTCGTTCTTTACTTTTTCGTGTCTTATACTGTTAAAGAGAGAGTTTCCCCTCTACCTGGCCCCCTCCCCACCCCTCCCCCCAACAAGTATAGTGTCCTGTCTTACTAGCACAACGAAAAACCGATTGAACCGAATTGTTCCCTCATTCTGGTTACCACCACCACCACCATTCATGCCGATAATTAGTACGATCTCCTTCACAATGCCGAACGAGCATCTTCTTTTCTTTACCCTTTTCTTCTTCTTTATTTCCCTTTTTTTTCTTTCTTCTTTTTCTTCTTCTTCTTCTTCTTTTCTTTTCTTTCCTTCTTTTCTTCTTTCTTTTTTTTCCATCCTCCTACCGTCGTTTCCTGCCCCTTCGGCGCCGTTCCACACCCCCATCCCCCCCACGTTCGTCGATAAATAATCCTCTGTCAGACGTTCATTACGTCGTTAAGTTTCAGCTCGAACTTATCCACCCTCTTTCGCCTTTCTTCTCTCCAAGCCCATCTTCTAGTACTTCTACCTGCCTTCGCTAACTACCCAACGCTAGTACTCACCAAAGTACTATCTACTTATTTCGAATGAAACCGATATAAATATCGGATTTTATGATTTTATTCGCGTCTCAATATTCGATCAAATTTAAATATCTTTTTCAATATGATAAATGACAAACATATATACATATATATATATATTTTGTTGATTTATCATTATTTACACGGTTTTAATATTTGTACACATAATTATGAAAGTGGTCTAATTGTAAGTCATATATTTCGAGATATTTAAAGGATTACATTTGAACATTATATGAATTCTATATAATATTGAAATAATGAACACTGTTTGACAGTTCATTTTTGACAATATCGTGAAAATTATATTGAATTAATTTAATTTAAAATAATGTGATGTGAAATGACTAATATACTCATTTTTTTTTTTAATTTTGACTTAGACCACTTTCATAATTATGGGCACATTTATTCGTTTAAATGATTTTGATCTTTTGTTTTTTCTTATTGATATGTAAATACATAATTTCATTTAAATATCTCTTTTTGATATGATAGTTAACACATATATATATATAACATACACGTATATTTGGTGTGTCACCGTTTACACGGTTTTAATATTTACTAGTTTAAATGATTATGATTTTCTGGTTTTTTATTTTTTATTATTTTGAGCAATAAAAAAACTTTCTCTATTCGTTCTACAATATACAGAAATTTATACTATTGCACCGGATACGATTGTGAAAAATGGTAGCGGATAAATGATAAATTGAATCGAACCAATAAATACTTACGATATTTTGTAGTCTTTTATTTTTCTTTATTTCTATAATAATAAAATATGACTATTTAAAAAAAACTTTCTTTGAAAAAACAACTTTGATTTCAATCGAACTAAGGAAATAATTCGATTTTATTTCTTTTTTTTTTCTTTTTTTTCTTCTCTTTATCAAGAAAGATAAAGAAACTTTATTATATCGTAGTGGATTTATGGATTATGAAAAGTGGAAAAGTGATAAATTGTTTGGAGTGATCCTCCTCATTTAAAAGGAGAATGATACTAAAGAGGTAATAGAGGGTACGCTTGTTAAACCCACTTTCCATGGAGGTCCTCCTCTCATCGGTCCAAGTCCCGATACTTCATTTTTTATTTTCTGGAAGGTAACGGCAATACTACGGTATTTTTTTTTCTTTCTTCTTCTACCTCTTCTTCTTTTTCTTTTTCTATTTCTTTTCCCCCCCCCCCTTTCGCTTGGACATATATCCAAAACGAAAGAAAATCTATAAATGCCTAAGTATAATTAACATTTTAATTGATTTCATATCAATATTTCGTAATGAATATTTGAAAAATAGACGATTAATATTTAATAATAAGTGTCAATTATTGGGGATCTTTGTTAAAAGAAACGATGATAAACGCGTATAGAAATTGTAAATTAAATTAAATTATCTATTATATATACAAATATCGACATATAAAAAAATAAGTTCTTATAGTTAAATACCATTAGTATTTAATAATAAGGATAAATTTGTATATCTTTATTATTATATTATATCTAATGGGGTTCACTTTTGATAATATATCGTGACAATTACATTGAATTAAAATTTAGTTTCAAATAAATGTGTCATGTGAAATAACTGATAAACTTATTATTTTTTTTAAATTTTGACTTATTGTTAAACCACTTTCATAATTATGGGCACATATTAATAATACAAAAAAACACACACACACACACACACGAACTTTTTGCTTCACCCTAATATATAATATATATCTAATTTGACACGACGAATGGATCGGAAAAATGAAATCTAAACGAGAATAAAAAGAACTTATGACAAAGTTGACAGTGTGTCAAGATTGATAAAGAAACTTCTATAACGAATTAATTAAGTATCTCGATGTGAAAGATATCAGAACTTTTCAGTCAAGATTCACCGAACTTCCAGTTATCTCTTTTTTTACTTTTATAGCAATCCCTTCCACCCTTCTCCCGTTCCTCACAGAAAAAAAGAAAAAAATCGCAGAAGAAATATAGAAGAATCATCGATTAATAAAGTAATGAAAAAAAAGAAAAAGAAAAAGGAGATTCCAATTCTCGAACGAATCCTGCGAGTTTCTTATTTCGATGTATACCTTCGAAGAGTAGTAGGATGATGATACTCTCTCCCCCCTACCCCCTGCTCTCCCTTGCTCCCCTCCTCCCCTCTCTCTTTCTTTCTCTCTCTCTCTCTCTCTCTCTCTCTTTCTTGTAGTTTCTCGCGTTATATCTTCTATCTCTGTTGAACTGAAAGGCACATATACATTCATACATACGTACATACATATATACATACTGTTGGACACCTGCGAGCACGCAGACTCGCGGTGCACCGGAAACTCGTTCGAGATCGTCTCGAGGAACGCGCCACGTTCGTGTCAGATCCTTCAGGATCGCGCGGGCCGACGCACGAGGACGATAGTAACCTAAGTTCCTGCCTAACTTCACCATTAGTTCGTTTCTTCCCTTCGTACGGTTACCAACGATAAAAACGTTCCCGAGATAGAAAATTATTTATTTTTCATAACACGAGAATTTCTTCTCTTTTCTTTTCATTATAAATTATTATATAACGAGATCAATATATATATATAATATATTTGATATATATATATATTTATATATTCAAAGTGTTACTATATATTCGTCAAATCCAATTTTTTATTACTACGAGGTGTTATAAAAAAAACATTCGTTCGTTGAAAGGAAAAGAAACAACATTGAAAGAGAGAGAGAAAGAGAGAGAGATAGAGAGAGAGAGAGAGGGAGAGAGAGAGAGAGAGAGAGGGATAATAATAATAATAATAAAAAAACCAAAAACTTGTGCTATATAATGTTCCTTTGGTTTATTAGTTTAATTATAATTCATTTAATACGCGAGAAAAAAAACGTGTTGTCGAATTACGCAACCATGAATTACGCAAAGGATAAAAAGTTTGTGAATTAAGCAGATCATCTATCGTAATTAACCCTCTACACTTTTAGAATGTGAAGGTTACGATTACAATGCACCTATTAACGAAGGGAATCGTTCTAAAGGTCTGCCTATTCTTCGTACTTTTTTTACTCCAAGGTGGCAGGTGCATCAAGTGGCTGTGAGTATAAATAATCGCAACATTAGCCCTACCCCTTTTTTTCTTGTTTCTTTTTTACGTGCCCATCATTTCTCTCTTCTTTCTCTCTAGATTTTACTATTTTTTTATTTATATAATATATTTAACTTTTTTCTTATCTTATTTTCGTATTTTCTCTTTTTATTTCGCATTGTTTCTCACGTTAATACTCGAATCACGCGAACGAGGAACGATCCTACTGCCTTTATTATCTTCTTTTTTTTTTTTTCTTTTTTTTTATTTCTCATTCGTAAAAGAATTCGATGATTAATGAGAGGTTCTTTAATGAGAATGAAATAGATTGCCGTTACAAAAGAAAGAAAGAAGAAATCTTTTAAGATGTGGGCGGAGGAGAAGTAGGGGGGAGGGGTTAGATGAGAATCAGAAGGGAAAAAAGGGCCAAAGCAAAAAAGAAACAAACGACGGAAGAGTGTGTGTGTGTGTTTTTTTTTAAAGATCCAACGATCCTCGATTGGAATATATTATAATATACATATATATATATAAGTATAATATATCAGAAAAAGGATATCTAAAATGAAACTGCGAAGTCATTCGTGTCATCGTAATTCGGTTAGAGAGAGACTCTTTTTTTTTATTTCTTGATAATGAGTTAAAAATGAATAAAAAAAAAGAAAAGAAGAAGAAGAAGAAGGAATAAGAAAAAGAACTATGCCCCCGAAAAGTTCGATCAAATTCAATTTACTCGTATTTTGAACAAAAAATCTCGTCAAATTAACTGGCAAAACGTTTTAGTCGTACGGGTTGATGGCTCGTTAAAAATAATAATAAACTTTATACGTGTAATACGGGGAGCGAGGAGGGAGGATTGTTACCTGGTTAAAAAAAAGAAAAATAAAATATGCATACTGTGGAATAAAAAAAAGTCGCGCTGCTTTATGGGCTCTCTTTAAATTGTTGTCTTTTTGTTTTGTATGTGTGTTTGTCTCTTACAAAATCTACCCGTCGTACTTGAAAATAAATTTTTACGACAGTTGTAAAAGTGTTTTAATACTTATATATATAAGAGGTAGTAATACGTATCTAAAATTTGATTAGATTTTCTTTAAAACTTATACGCGTCTAAATGAAAACTTTTTGTTTAATAAAACAATTATTTAGATACACAAAATTCAATAAATGTTAATAAAAATTTAATTTTAATCGTCAATATAAGCATCCGTTTTTCTATTATAATATTACATTACAGATAATTGAATCATAATTATCTGAATGAAGAATTTAACACTTTAGCTTGATAAATTATCCGTAATAAAATAGATATTACTATTAATATTCGTGAAAGATCATCTTTCACGAATAAATCCATACGATTAATAATTTACGTGCGAATAAGTTTGACAAAGATATTATCATCTATCATAATCTTCTCAAAACGATATATTATAAATCCTATCTAAGGAATCCTATACTTCTTATCTATCACGTACGATGAACTATTATCAAGAAAAAATAAGAAAATATACAAAAGCAAGAAGAATAAGAAACAGACGGGGGGGGAACAGGAGGGGAGATCCTTTTCTACCTTTAGACGAGTTTTTTCGTATTCGCGAAAAATTTCATTTCATTGCTAAAAGAAGATTGTGCTAATAAAAGAATAATAAGAGAAGACGATGATGGGAAGGGGGGAGGGGGAGTGGGGTTGAAGAAGGTTAAGGAAGAGAGAGAGAGAGAAAGAGAAAGAGGATAAGACTTGGGTGTAGAAATTGGGAAGAGTAGGAGGGGGAGGGGGAAACGGTAGGGGTGCTCGCTTCCTGGCTGGATGATGAATGGAGAAACGATGGTAGTTTTGCGTGCAAAACCAAAATTCGAATAAGTATGGAGAAAACAACAAGGTAAAGGAAAAGATGAGAGAGAGAGAGAGAGAGAGAGAGAGAAAGAGAGCCCACAGCAGACTCGGTTATTCGTTCTAAAAGAGTAAACGAGAATGTTCGGCGGGTGGTAAGGGGTGGGGTAGGGGGTAGGGGGGGGTTAGGGCTGGAGGCAAGGCGGGTAGAAGATTAGGGGTTGCCCACGGAATCGTGATTTATAAAGACCACGCTATGCCACGCCACGCTATGTGCCACACCATGCGAGGCACACACCATAAGCTCCTCTCTATACCACCATGGCCACACGACTACAACACCATGCTACACCGGACCCTTTCTTCTCCCTTTTCCAAAAATCTTTCTCTCACTTTTGTTTATTAACCATTGTGTGTATGTGTCCGTGTCTGTGTGTAGTGTACGTGTCCCTATTTCTCCCACCCTCAACCCCATCAAATACCCACCCCCCAGACGATGACGAATAATCGAAGGGTAACTCGATTATTCGCAAACGTCACACGGATTCGTTACGCTCGTCCTTTGCGAATCAAAACGCGACGAATCTCCCGATCTCGAATTGTTCAAATTTCTTTTGTTTCTTTTTTTTTGTTTTGTTTTGTTTTGTTACGAATGAATAATCGATTAGAAATTCTAAATGTTAGTAAAAGGATGGTTTAGTTGTATTAATGTAATATTGATTTTGTATTAATTAAATTTGATTTTGGGTTGGTTAAATTTTGATATTGAATTAGTTAAATATTTGTTTTTTTCTTTTTTATTTTATTAAATATTGATCACACGATTTTGTTATATATTGGTTGAATTTATTTAATAACTTTTTTGTTTGTTTTTTCCTTTTTTTTCGAATTCGTTTTTTTTCTACACAACAAACGAACGGGGAATATTATGTTCGTTCGAATCATTCTCGTATAGTATGAGAAAAAAGAAAGTCGAGTAAGATCATCTCACACATCCTTCTTTCCTTTTGATTTTTTTTCTTCCATACTAACTTCGTGTCCAGTTTTCTAACTGTTAGCAACCATTTTCAGACACTCGCGTTTCTAATGTCGATTCATCCTGATTCCCCTTTCCACCCCTCCCCCTCCCCCCTTTCCACTTAACGTGATCATGGGATCGATTTGTTATAATTTATAGTCGTACAGTTGATTTGCTAAAGCAACCAATCAATGTCCGTTGAATTTCACTGGAAGAAAGTTCAATCGAATCAACGACCTTTACGTCATTCAATATGATTAATTTCACGAATCTTTTTTTTTCATTCTCTCTTTCTTTTTTTTCTCTTTTCTCTTTTCTTTTCTTTTTTAAAACGTTAACAAAAAATTTATTCGAGGGTAAAGATTTTTACATACGACGTGGTTTTTATTTGACATTTAAAAGCCGATGTTAATTTCGATGCATTCGTTAGTTCTTTCGTTTTCTTATCTTTTTTCTTTTTTTTTTTAATTTCTTTTCGAATATTGTATATTCGAGAAAAAGGGCGGAATATCATATTTGGAAAATCTACCTAACCGTTAGTTAGGTAGGTATATAAGTATAGTATAGGAAGAGGAGGAGGAGGAGGAGGAGAACGTTCGCTTTTGCGTAATTCAAGTTACGATGAAACCTGGCCTATTATCAAGCTTATAAACATCACGTTTTACGATTGAAACGTCAAAAGTAATTTTTGAAGTCACGCGTATATATATACGAGCATATATAGCAAGAATGTTATATATATATATAAGCATATATATATTTTCAATTATAATACGATTAAAAATACGAAAACTTTTTATAGCTACTACTTTTAATGAATTTTAATGAAATTTTAATTAAAAAATCGCGAAAAAACAAATTAGAATTATTACTCGTATAATAAAGTCATCGTCAAAAGTTGCGCGAGTGACACTTTTAGTTAAATAAAAAACAAAAAAAAAGTAAAAGAAAGATTTCATTGGTGATTTCTCGATTGGATATTATCGAGCAAGTTTTTTTTTCGAGTAGTATTATAAAAAACAAATATATAATAAAATATATATTCAAACACGTTCGCGAATAGAGAATTATACTTGATAATTTGATTCTCTAAATACCAAAAGAAAATACAAAAAACGATTATTGTAAATATTAAAAAAGAAATCGTTGAATATATATAATACTATTCGAAAAAAAAGATCTGATCGACGTTAACGAAATTCATGAAATTGTTTCATGGAAACACTTATTTGGAAGAAAAAGAAAAAGGAATTTTTTTTTCCTTGGGAAATCTTTTATGAAGAGAAAATCATGTCACGTTGAACGTAACACGATGATAGCATATACCCTATCATCATCAAGTAGATATTATAATGGATGCACGTGTACGTTCGTTCTCTTCTTCGATTTACGAACATACTTATCTTGGTAGGTGTGACCGTGAATGGAAATAGGTATCTCTCTTGTATGGCGATTTCATCGAGTTTGAAAAAATAGAAGAAAAGAGAAGAGAGAAATCGTAAGAACTTGGAGCCAACTACTTGAACCAAGAGCTCCAAGGCAAAAGCCTGAGAGTTAGTATGTGTGTACGCATTCATTTATGTATGTGAAGAAGTACTTGGGGGATTGCTATGCATAGATAGATATTTATTAGATCACGGAGTGATCCTGAAAGTATAAATGTGTCTTTCGAATAGAACGAGATGAAAAATATAGATACAAATAGAGGATATATGTCGTATAATCCTTTGCCAAATGGATTATGTGAAAGAAAATAAATGAAAATGAATGAAAATAATATTGGGAATAGACGTTATACCAGACGAAAAGAAATAATAACTAATTTAACGATAGTAACAGATAGAATATTATTCCTAGTGACAAATAGTGTCCTGTCTGTTCTGTGTATCTAACTTGAAAATGTATTTAAGATTATTGGTTCACGTGTCATAATGCTATTACCTATCATCCCATTGATAAGTTTCATTTCAAAGTATAGGTGTACTTTATGAAATAAGAAATAGAAATATTAGATCTATATCTGTATGTATTTATTTATTTATTTATGTATATATATATATATACGAATACACGTTTTAAATCACTCGGAACACGAATCGATTATTTAAATTAGTTAATTCGAGAGGCAACGGTAGTAGTAAACGGTTAAACTCATTCTTCTTCTCGATGTTGCTCGTAAATTGGAACACAATATTTAACGTTTGTGTTTGCCCCGAAGGTTTAGTGTACGAGTATTGGTGATACATAAAAGCCGAAAGAAAATCGTATCTAAAAAGCCTGTTGCAACCGGATTGTTGTTATTAATTCATATATAGAGAAAATATAAATACATGAATATTTTCTTATTTTATTTTTCAATCGTACTTACACATAGGTAAAACCTTCCGATTTGCTCGTTAAATATTATTTCTTATATTTCTACATTCTCTTATATATATATTTCTCTCAGGTTGTCAAACATCTCCTATCGTCTAACTGTTAACAGATATCCTTCTAAGAATTCTCATCCATTTTTGTTTTGTTTTCTTTTCTTTTTTAATTCGAATAAAAATGTCGGAATAAAAACAAAAAAACAAAAAAAAGAAATACTCGGCGAGTTTAATATATTTTTGTTCTTTTTTTTTGTTTTCTTGTTTTTAAATTACTCGTATACTATTACGTCCACTTTCAACTTCCGTATTCTATTATGTATCAAACTGATCCATCAGGTTTACGTATATTGACGGAAGGATTAGATCTATGATTTCTTTTCCCTTTTTTTTTCTTTTTTTTTGTCTTTCCATTGATCAGTTAGATTCGTATGTAGGAAGGAAACGATTTAAAAAGATGTATCGACTTATGATAATTGTCAGTGACGATAGTTGCAAGTGTGCAAGCACGTTATTAATATCTCTCTTATTCGTTCGTGTCTGGTTACGATAAATCAGCACTTCCATTCATAGACATTATCGTGTTACATTGACTAGGTGGTCTAGTAAGGAAACTTGTTCCATAAACGATCTTGATGAAATAACTAAAAAATCTAACTTTGATCTATAAGTTTTCACCTAGTATTACGAATTCCAAAGGTTTTTCAAACGTTTATACCTACTATCGATCAATAGTTTCGAATTCTAACAAAAATTCCAAAGAAATCGAATATTCGTAAAGAACAATAAAATTAATATCCTTTTTGGAAGTAACCTAATGGTAAATTGTGATTTCTATCGAATATCGAGAGTGTAACATAAAATAAAATAAAATAAAATAAAATAAAAGTTCTTCGCGTCAATAAGTTGCCTATAATTATTTCTATTTACAAAAAAAAAATGTCATTAAAAATTAATATTAATTAGATTTTAAATCGAAACAATTTTGATCTAGGGTTTTCATAAGTTAACCTTTCGTATTTGATTAACAACGAGATCGTTAGAAAATTTATCGTCGTGTTAGAATTTTATTGGGATCGATAAGAGATCGAAAACATTTTGTAATTAAGTTAAGTAAGCGATTCAAAAAAAAAAAAAAAAAAAAAGGGAGAACACGAAGAAGAAGAAGAAGAAGAAAAAAAACGAATTTGTATTTTTACGTTTAATTAGCGATATCTCTTTAAGGATCGCATAAACGTAATGAAAAAAAAAGCAAGATGAAAAGTGACGAAATAACCGAGTCCTTTTAATAAAACCCCGTGTACCGCTTGTATATCTATGGGATCTAATCTAAAGCATATATTATAGCGAGGTGATGTAAAAAAAATTAAAAAAAAAAAAATAAAATAAAATAATAAAAAGAAAAATATTTAGCTACCGTAATAGTGGTAGAAATATACGAGATGTGAATTACATTCGAAGTATTATAATAATTACCGGCTGCGAATGAGACTACTTAAGGCGGCTAATTTACATGATTGCACGTTCGAGCATTAAACGTCAATTACGAGCCATCGACTCTCAACTTCCCCCATGCTACTACAACGTCGTGGTTGGAAAGTTTTGCACGCCATACGTCCGCCATATTTCTTCTTCGATGTTACTTCGTATATATATTTTTTTCTTTTCCTTTCCTTCTTTCTTTCTTTATAATTTTTTGTTTTCTTTTTTCTTCTCTCGGATGTTACACCGAAGCGATAAACAAACGAGTCGAATTGCTACCATTAACGAGTTCATAATTTGGTCCTTCTTTTATCTTTTTTATTTTTTATTACTTTTCCCTTATATATATAGAAAAAAAATATCATATATAATGTTATGTATATTTATATATATTTATATATTTATAATCTCGTTGCTTAAAAAAAAGCCCAATCGTTCATTAAGCTTTTTATTTATTATATTGTTATATTAAAATCAATTTTCTTATTAATTCTCCATTACGAATCTGATCGATAACAAAATATTATTATTATTATTATTATTATTATTATTATAGTAAAATGATGTGTTTCTTTCGTTATGACCAATTGAGAAGAAAACAACAAAATCTGAATTTACAATTTGGATGACAATGTTTTCCATTTATCTCTACCTCAAGAAAATAAATGTATATTACTATTATTTATTCGTACATAAATAAAACGTTTTCCTAAATGTTTTGATTTAGAGCTCTCGGTCGTATGGCCGATACTAGAACGTGGTCGAAAGACGCATGTACGAGTGCTAAAAGTTCTGGTCTTTTGGAAAGAAAACAAGCGAGAGCTTGCAGGGCAACACCCGATGTGATGCCGAGTTTGGTACAAGCAGCTAGAGATACGTCAATCGTTTGTCAACAAGCATTTAGACATCGTCGTTGGAATTGCAGTAGCATCGAAGGTGCTCCAAATTATACTCCGGAATTATTAACAGGTATTTGTACATTTAAACAAAAGAAAAAAATTAATATTTCTTATTTCCCTCCCCCCCCCCCGCCTCCCAGACTTCATTCCACCCTATTAATTTCTTCTTCTTTCAGAAGATTCGAATAAATTTTTCTTTCATTTTTTATCATCTCGTATCATCATCTAAATAAACGTTCCCCCACTTATTTCGATAGTTAAACAACGTAATAACCTATGATTAAAAAATATCAAATAGTAACTACTGTCGACAGTTTAATTTGTAGTTTGCTAATTGTAAATAGGAGAAAGATATGATGGCAAATAAACGAACGATAGTGTGTGTTCTTATTTTAGTATTACCTTTATTACATTCGCGTGACCGCGTGTATCGGTTTCTATAGACATACAAATAAAAGCATTACTGAATACTAACAAGTCAACGTCAGGATCATTTGCTAACGAGAGAAAAGCAAGGAGAGAACGAACGTTCGCTTTCTCTTGCTATAGTAGATAATATATTATTATTCTATCCTGTATCATATATATACATATGTATGAATTTAACTTACTCGAGAGAGAAAGAGAGAGAGAGAGAGAAAGAGAAGCTGATACCTTAACGATTCGATTTCTAAGCTATTGTTCGCAATCGGCTTATTTCAATTATTTCAATCTGATCCGAATAGAAATATATATATATATATATATTATAAAGGTATAACGTTTTGAATTTGAAATTCTTATCAATAAAAGATACTTTTAAAACGATATACATTATGTTCGTAATACACAAATAAGATGATAAAAAGAAAAATAATATATTACGTAATGATTGTCTATATTTTATTGTTAAAGGAACTAGAGAACAAGCATTCGTTTACGCAATGTCAGCTGCAGCGGCTGTTTGGAGATTGGCAAGGGGTTGCGCGTTAGGAAATTTAGCAGCTTGTTCTTGCGCAACACCACCACGTAAAGAACCACCTTCGCCATCGGCTCTGATATCATCCACCTCGTTAGCGACAGCAACTATGTCGTTTGGTGGACTTACTGGTAGAAATTCGTTCAAATGGGGTGGTTGCGGTGACGATGTTAGGTCTGCCTCGAGAATGGCTAAAAGATTTCTTCAAGGTGCTACACCACCTGGTACAGGACAGACATCCAAATTTCTTCATGCCGTTAACATGCACAACAACAGAGCTGGACGAAGAGTTAGCATGATCTTTTTTCTATTGTATTTTATAATTTACCCATTTATAATTATCTACCCCCTTTCTATTGTTTCTAACGTAACAGGCAGTTGAGCAGTCATTAACTTTGGAATGCAAATGCCACGGGGTTTCCGGTTCTTGCAGCGTTCGCACCTGTTGGAGAGGTTTAGGTTCTTCCGGTCCTGCGATAGCTGGAACTCGTCTTTTACGAAGGTACGCCACTGCAGCCGAAGTTAAATCTAGATCTGGTGGTAGATTACCACCGCTTTATCATCACGATAATCTATTGTATACCACCAAGAGTCCAGATTATTGTCTTCCGGATAAGAAGAGGGGTAGTCTTGGTACCATAGGCAGGTAAGCTCGAAACCATTATTTTATCGAGATTGTTCTTTTTTTTTTTTATCATCAAAACTATAATTACGAATTCATTCGTTAAAACGTAGTTTACTTACTTACGGGTTATTAATTTGTGCAATAGGGTTTTACATTTTCTTTTTTACAGGATAAAAAGAGATGCGAAGAGATTAGATTAAGGATTTAGAGGTTAGATAAAAAAAGATGGAAGTGTAGTTTCGGAAATTAGAGTAACGTAAGATATCTTTTAATTTGGGACAAATAAATGGGCTAACGTGAGTTAGGTTTTTAGTAAAGGTTCTGAAAAAAAAGTCGAAAAGAAATTTCAACCAAAAACTTGAACCGTCGTTTTATCGTTTATTATTATTATTTTTCTTTTCTCCTTTTTAATGTTACTTACTTTAAAAATACTCTCTTTTTAAATGATATGAAAAAAGAAAAATTAAAACAAAAACAACAACACAGGAAAGATCTTTTAAGATCTTTTAACATGGAACATCTTTTTAAAACGAAATAAAATAAATAAGAAGAAAAGGGGTATTGAATAGTAGAAATGAGTAAAAAGAAAAAAAAAAAGAAAAAAAAAGAAAACGCGCGTAAACTCGAGAGAACGAGTCCAGGTGTAGGTCGTAAAGCCACATTATAGCGGCGTTAATGGGGGTTTAGCGTTGTGCTTTCTTTCGTCTTATGACGATGGATACTATAACAGAAATTACGTTAGAAAAGCGCGTGCAATAAAAACCGACGAGTTAACGCCACTTCCCTATACAATACTTCTCTATTTTCGCGAATGTTTCTTGTCGTAAAACTTAAAGGGAGAGAAAAACAAAAAGAAGTAAAAGCTTTTCGGACTTTTAACCCCCCACCCCCTACTCCCATCATCTTTTCCTAAAACGAGAATCCAATTTCTTTAATGAAATTAATCCAAACGTTGTGACTTTTAATTCGATAATAGGAAATTTCACGAAATTAGATCAATCGAAAAGAAATTGACTATAAGGCTATATATCTTTTTATTAGGGTGAACCAAAAGTCTTAAATTAATATTTCCAAAGTAAATTTTTTCAAAAAAAAACAATTCATTATGCAATTTCAAAGTAAAAGTTTCAACACAATAAACGCACGAACTTTTGATTTCTTCTAATAGTTATTATATTATCAAATTTTTAAAATGCAAAAATATATATATATAATAAAACTGTGAGAATATTTAATCGAGGATCTTCACTCCACCCCTTCTTCACCGATCTATCTCCATTATTCAAATAGGAAAAAAATTGAGATATTTTTGAATAATTCTAGTAATTGAAACAAAAATTCGTACTATAATACATATATAAAAATAAATACAAAAATATAAAGGGGGGAGGAGATACACATATAAAATATAAATAAAATACAAAAGTAAAGGTAAACGTAGAAGTGTTAAGAAATGATTTGAAAATAAGTTCATCTATGTTCGTGTTCATTGTTCGAACCCTTCGAAAAGGGCATTCATTGTGTGTATACGGTGATTGCATTAGTTACGGATTTTCCGGCGGTAGGAAGTAAAGAAAGAAAATAAAAATAAGAAGAAGAAATTCTCTTGTAGGTTGTCGTCGTCGTCGTTCTGAGTTATTCACGCCTCTACACTGTTTCTTTCTTTGTCCCCCGTTCCCCCGTTTCTTTTCTCATCCCTTTCTCTTTCCGAAGCGAATTAAGATCACCCACGATACGCGTTCTCGGAAGAGTGAACTCCTTTTCTTCTTCTTCTTCTTCTTCTTCTTCTTCTTCTTCTTCTTCTTCTTCTTCTTCCACACGGATACGTTTCTGCGTTCTTACTCTCGTAAGAAATCGAAGAAACAAGGGGTGGGTAGGGGACGAGGAGGGGGGGCAGGTGGGGGGACGACAACGACGACTCGTATATATGGAAGCGTCTTCTTGGATGATCCTTTGTTTAGTTGTATCCGGTTCATAAATCATAGTGAGACTCGTGAATCAGCTCGTGAACGACCGATACATACAAATTAATCTCTCATTGTTCCAACCTCGAGGGTATGTTCCAATGAAAAGAAGAAGTATGATCATAACCGATCACTTTTACACTATGAATATAAAATAAACGTATATTACTCGAGTAAATAGATTTACGAGAGTTGGTTATTTGAATTGGATGATTATTTTTTTTCTTCTTCTTATTCTTCTTCTTCTATTAGATCTTACAAACGAGATGATTTATGTATCGTATATATGTTATCGTCGAAGCAGAAAATCAGTCATTGCTAGTAATTCCTCGGCATTGTTATCAATGCAAAACGCTTTCCGAAAAGTTTTGGTAAATATTTTTTATACTAAAAGTAAATAGATTTTAATGAAACTTATATTAAATTAAAGTACACTCTTTTGTCTATGCGTAGAATACTTTTTCGAGTTCTAAATTTAGCATGTAAAATTCAGAAATGTCTGTGAATACAATGCTGTAAAGTGTGCATCTTTGCAATTTCTTTGAAAAGTTTCGGTAAATATTTTTTATACTTTTAGCAAACGGATTTTAATGATTCTTATATTAAATTGAAGTACACTCTTTTATCTATAAGTTGAATATTTATTTGAGTGATAAATCGATTTGCAAAGGTTCATAAAATGGCAAAGAATGAGATGCTGCAAAATTTTTCCAACTTTGCCATTTCTTTGAAAAGTTTCGGCAAATATTTTTTATACT